CTCTAAACCGAGTGAACGAATAACCAAGGACCAAGTCAGCAATAAATATTTAATGCTACAATTAACCCTTCAAATTTTGCGAAAACAATATTATTTATTATCAATTCGGACTCGTTACAATTCCTAGAATTCATACTACGAACAGGAACGACATTCAACTAAATCTGGCAATAACWACAGCGTCGGTACCTTTTGATCCACCTCCTAGTCTCTTACGTGTAACATTTCAGCCATTTAGATTCTGCATAAATACAGGACTTTATCCATAGCAGAATTAGAATTAGTTCAATCTCCCACACGTGTAGGGGTACTTACCTGGTCGAAGAGTCCACGCACTCTACATAGCCGCCAGACTAAGTTCTTCCCATTTATTTTTAGTGAATAGATTACTAACTTTTCGGGCAGATACTTTACGTTCTGTCCTCAAATTTATATAATTTAATTGTAACTTAATAAACATTTAATAACTTTAAACGTTTTGCCATTTATAAACTCTGCAACCTTCTCCTTTGAAAAACCTGATCGTCATCCAACGTCGTCGAACTCAAACATAGGAGTTAGTGAGGGATCACTACACTTCCGTCTTCCATAGCCATGCCAAATCAGCTAACTCAATCAAAACGCGGTTTTTTCTGTCATAAATATGTCGATTTCTGAATGGAGATAAAAAAATCTTTCCAAGACGTAACTTCGGCTGAGCCAAYGAACTTCAGTACTTCACAATAATAAGGAATATCTGGGTACTCGCTTTCAATGTCAGCAAGATAGTTTTTAAACTGACGGTGATTGAGAGCACTTTTTCGAATATAATTTATATTCTGCACAACAACATTCATAACTTCAGAGTCAAATATTGGGGTATTTTTTCCACACAAAGTTTGCTGGTGTATAATACAGCGAACAACCATTAGTTCTGCTGTAGGTACTAGTCTCAAATACAGCTTTACAAACATTAATGTGTTCATTGTTTATTGCGCCCACCGTCAGTAGTTACGTCTTTTAAAATTTTAAAATCAAGACCCAAAATAAAAATAGATTCTTTTACCTTCGGAAAAATGTCATTATAACCAGCACATTTATCTTTCATAGAGTGGACGGCGGCCAATTCTTCGGTTATTTCAAAAGATTCATTGACTCCGCGAACGAATAAAAGCGCCTGCGCTGAGTCTGAAGTGTCGGTAGATTTCCTTACAAATAACGCATAAAACAAAATTATTTAGTTCTATGAAGAAGTAGTCATTATTCCACTTTTCATTAAAAACACGGCACTCTGTATAGACTTTCCGTCTTTTACTTWAACTCATATTTAATGGCATAGGCTGTGGCCTAGATGTTATGTTGACAGAGCACAACACTCRATAAACAACAACACTAAACTGCAATAATTATAAAAACTGATTCAATATGTCTCAATATATTGCAGTGGATTTGCACGGTTACAAAAACCCGTCGACTATACGTTCGATAGCGTTATTATTAAAACGGGAAAAGTCGATCGTATCTTATCTGACCATCGCGTAGATAATTYCCGAGTACATAAGCAAGTCATATAAGTGTGATCGAAGACTTTTTCTATTATTAGTTAGTGTTAGTATATATGTATGACTATTATAATTTATAAGTTGTTATGAATAACGCCAAAATAAAAAATAAATTAAAAACAACGAAAACTAATATATTATTTTCAAAACATTAATTAGCTTGACGGGCCGGTGCAAACACCTTGGCGGGCCGGATCTGGCCCGCAAGCCGTAGGGTGGAGACCCCCAGGTCTAAATGGTAGAACGATTCGTCGGCACATACATGATAAATATTGCTTTAATAATGTTCACAATATTTGGGCATTCCTAAGACCACATTAACACAAGTCTGGTTTTAATTATAACGCTGTGGCCAATGTTGTATGTCATGTTCCGTAATTAATGCTAAGTTTCATGGTTCAATAAAATTTAATGGAYCACTTAATCATCAGTAAACCATTAGTATACTATTATGATTCGTTAAATACTAAGTTTATATACTAACCAACAAACTGGCATTGATAATGTTAGGTATAGCTAAATAACAAAATGTCGGAATCGATCGCTGGGTACCTACTTATAAGTTGAATATTATAGATACCTATCATAATAATTTAACAATTCGGCGAGACGCAATTATAGATGAAAACTTAATAAAATGTTCCCTTGGCCCGCCAAGTTGCACAATATTGACGACTTGACGTTTTCCAATGAAAACGCTTTATCAAATGCCACCCACTGGCTGAAGTAAAATATTTAGCACTTTTATATTTTAATGCAATTAATATTTATTAAGTCCAGCACCTGGCAAGATAAGAAGAAGAAAAAGTTTTTAAAATTATTCCACTAATATTAAAGTGAAAAAAATATAAATKGAATATGATTTAAAGACTGATAAATATACTCGATATGTACATTAATTTATTTTAATGTACAAAACACCTCAAAGATCTTTACATAGGTGCATAATAAAGTACTTAATAATATGAATAATAAATTACAAACATAAGCTACCCACTAATAGCCAACAACATTATAATCAGTGCAAGTATTAGTGTGGTACTTATTTGGATTTGTATTGCCGCTGGGACCAAGTTGTATTACTAGCAACCATATTATACCTAAAAACATTTTGAACAACAACGAAAAAAAAATGTTAATATCCTAAAATTAACACAAATTACTAGGAATGTTGTAAAATGAAAAATTCCAATAGGTAATACATTTTTGTCGTCATTATATCATAAAGTTATGAAATTATGCCCCCACTGGCTCACTATTATGTATAGTTTCCCATCTTTTTCCCAGACATTAAATTGAAATCAAATACGAAATCTGTGCATAGTATTAATTAATTATAATATTTATATGGTGTCTGCATGAAAGGTGATAAATTTGAAGTTTGCTTGTATTATTTGTGTCAATCGGTTGTATTTGTATAACTTGTACTCATGTAGTGACTATAGTGAACTTTAGTCATAATATAAGTGTTGTGTAAGTTCCTTGATTTTGGTACCCAATTAGATTGAATTTTGAATTAAACCTATAAAATGTGTAACTAAATAAATTATTGTTGAGTTACTTTTTTTTAATTCGGTCAAGCCAATACTCTTTTTGAGTTAAAAAAGTTACTTAATTACAATTAAAGTTAAATACTTCTTATAATTTGTTTTCAAATATATATCACTGAAGCATTATTTATGTTGCCAATTAACGAACTACCTAAATAATGACTTATTAAAATCAACTATATGAAATTACATAGAACGGTTATTATTTAAGAACTAAAAATGACAATACAATATTGTTTAATCCATTTTATTCTTTATTATAAATAACAATTCATTTACTGCATTATAACATATTAAAAATTAAACTTTATTGTCTAATAGCTATTACAAAAATGTTATTGCCAGAAAATTTTGAAAAAACTTTTTTATTTCTTTGAAAATGTTTTGTTATTTTTCCAGACATTTTTAAAAATGTCTGGAAATCTTCAATTTTTACTTCTTTACTAACTAGATTCACTTTCCTAGTTTCCTACCATAAAAGATACCTAGTTAAGTTTGAAATCAAAGTATTATTTTAACTAGAGAAATGTACAGACAAAAAAACATACATAATTATTGTAGCATCAAAAGCACATTCGTCGCTCTGATCAGAATTTAAAATGCGAGTGAACATGGTTGACGAATCAATATCTATAATATAAGTTGTTCATGTAAGTATAAGCGGTCATACTACCGAAAAATTATTTTRTATTACGGCGACGAGTATTAAATATATAAATGTCTACAACTGCGGCAGTGTGGCACATATATTATGCATACAATACATATTATACACTTTTGACATATTTCTAAAATTTGCGGATTTTTGCACTATACATAAAAAACATGTACGTCCTCGAAACCACCTTTCCCTTGACTTATACCACATAACCACTCTTATTATAATTTGTTAAATGCGCTTTCTCTAAGTTCAATTTAACATAATTCATTACAATCTTATCATAAATTACACAAATAACTACGATTCATGAATTCATACGACGATGTTTATATTCTTATAAACTGTACCAATATTGTAAAACGCGATCGATCGGTTTACATTCGTCGGACTCGTGCTAAAACGAGTTTTTCTCCATCATTTATTAGCCGGAGACTTGAGTAAACAGAAAAAGGTGTCGCACCAAAAAAAAAATACACATTATAGTACTACTTATATAGCTATATTATGTTATTAACATATTATATAGACAACACAATATAAATTATAAGCACCAGTGAATCTGAACAAACGCAGTATTTGCGTAAACATATATATTTGTATGTATTTTATTGTGTATTTTAGATTTTGACTGGAGTGATGATCGATTATATGTTATGATATTTTGATGATAAGTGTTTTTTTTGTACGTGAATACATTTTTACTAATAGATTAATATGTTTCAAATGTTTCAATAATTAAATTTAATAGGACGTTACACCCGCATGTGTTGTCTCCGTCTTACAAGTGTGTAACATATAACAGTATAGGTATTTTAAAATTGTAAATTGTTTGTATATCTTAAAATACTCATAACTCACTTTAAAATTAAAATATAATTAAAAGCTTATGAGAAGCCTTCGATAATAATGTTGAATTTAATTTTTATAAGAGGTCAATTTACTCTAAATTTTAAACTCATGGAGCTAAACGTGATCTGCAGAGCGTAAAATTTGGTATGTTACGCACTTGTAAGACGGAGACAACACGCATGAGGGTATAATAATGTCCTCTTATAACTGAAATTTAAAGTAGAAAATTGAATACGGTGGTCACCGCTTATTTGACTCGGGGTTAATTGATTCATTMTCTTATTAGACCCAAAACTACTGTACTAAATTTGCACGTATACTGACACACAAGAAAAAATTCGTCTATTAGACTCACACACCGGTTAATAGGGTCATTTTGATCCGAAGAAGAGAAAATTCAATCAACTCTGGATAGATTTTTATCAAGAATCAATGAAGGACTTATCTAGAACAAAATAATATTTTATTAATTTATTTTTTATAGAACAAAATGTTTTCTATTAAATACCCAAACATTMATTTTTAATAAGTACTATACCTACATTTAACTAAAAAATAGCTGAAATCTCAATAAATATTTTTTAAGTAAATAAATATATATTTTAAAATTTKTTGGGTCCTTTCGTTTTATTGACTCATTCGGTTAATTGACTCAAATGGTCTTGTTCCAATTTCCCAAAGTGAGTTTAATGGGTGGTGAATACTTTGTGTTTGTATATAAAATTTATTTTGGTAAGAAATTTCTCAGTTTTTTTAAATAATCGCGGGAAAAAATACGACCATTTATTAAAATGTTTACCTATATCAATTATTATAATTATTAAAATAATTGTTTGATAACTACATGTTACCAAAAAGTGGAACCTCCGCTAGTTCACTAATTAAATAGTTTTTCTTCGTACACTATATACGACTTATTAAATTCAAATTTATTCACATAAATTACAATTATGAGATAAATACTTATAGTACCTACATTCTTACAGCGCAGAGTGGTTTATTGCCTACTTGATGGGTTTTTTATTTTTTACTTTATCTACTAGCTAACTAGCTATAWAATACATTTTTTTATAATGTTAGATTTATACAGTTATGTCTTCAGCAAATAAGGGTCGAGGAAAAGTTGGTAAAATAGTATAAAAATAAATAATAAATACTTCTGTAATTTTATAATCATATTATATGGTACAGTTATGACTTTATGAGGAAAAAAATTCAAAACCAAATTTTCCTAAAAAAATAAATGTTGAATTCATAAACATAAATATTAAGTAAAATGTATACCTACATTATAATAATTATAATATTTATGCTGATATTATCAATATAAATTCAGGTCCGTTATACAGGCTGGTTATATTACATATTAAATAACACATACAATAATATGTGCTTATTAAATTTATACCTATTTGTTTTAAACACAATATTTTCACAAGCCGTTAAATTCTTTCAAATTCAATTCAGAAGACGATCGAATATTGTTAAAATGTATTGTTTTCAGCGAATAACTATATAATTATTATAGCTCTATCAATATCTCGTTATAAGACTACAACAATAATTATAATTATTATCAATATCAATATTTTGAGAGGACGTCATAGGACACACACACACACACAGTGGTGGATTTAAGGGGGAGGTAGAGGGGTCTGCCCTCCCTTTGACCATAAGATGTGTAAGAATAAAACTGTAACGTATAACTTATAATCACGATTCACGAAAAATTCAAGTTTTTGATTTTGTTTTGATACTTAATATTTAATTATATATTTATATTATACTTTATATTTATGTAAAAATATGTACTGATGTAAAAAAATATTGACCCCCCCCCTCCCCAAACAAAATCCTAGGTCAACCACTGCACACATACACACACAATCGTAATGGATACCAAATATTTGTTCAACCGAACTAATTGTAAGTCGTTACTCGTTAGTATTACTTACTTGTGATATAAACCTTACAAATTTGAATATCGTAATATGTAGGTAAGTTAATTTTTACGAAATTTTAATTTTTAAGTGAGTGTGATAGACCGATAAATAGGTACCTATGTAAGATATTACAATTTAAAATTGAATATCTACAAAATCTAATGAGATTCTCTAGATTGTACCATATTATATTAGGTACATTACATATACATTGATGATATTTTATTCACTTTATTATTAAAGTTAACAATAGAAATTTGGTTCTACTGAATGCTGATATAATATTATCCTCTGCATTGAAAATCAAAAATAACGATGATGAAAAACCCTAAAGTAATACCGATCGACCAGACAGGTTAATTGRTTAGCGAGTTTATATAATATAAAACTATGGTCTACAATTAATTTCCGTGAACCACAGTGATCAAAAAGTGAAAATGGGCGGATGGTGGTTGTGTACCTTTTTTTAACTACATGTGCTCTAAAAATAATTCAGTGAGGCACTCCGTAGTTCGTTGTTRCCACCCTTTTATTGCACTAGTACCTATAGTGATCGAGGAGATTTGAGCGAAAAAATAAATGCGGCGCGTACTTATTACCTATTTTTGTTTCATATGTGCTGTATACCTACGCGTGGTCTATTATGAGATTCTGGGTACTTTTCTTAAAACTGTTTAAGTATAGTTACCTATTATTATAAATATTTATTTCAACATGGGTATTATATGCAGACAAATCACAAAATATATATAAATGGAGCAAGCGCTTAAAAATTTGAAAATTATGTGGGTATTGTACGTTTATCGTTTATGACAATCGCCTATAATACAAGCGGAATAAATTAATCCTCGAAAAATCATCGGTCCATATAATAGGTATTATGTTAGTTTCTACCCATGTGAATTTCTTGGTCGTTAAAAAAAGTAAAGTCGGTACTATCTAACTTTTTATTTACTCAAATAAAAAATGACTTAAACATAATATGCAATACATGTCTCCTTGATCCTTCATAAATACATTTGCATCAACTGTACATGCAGTTTTTTATACATATTCTACATAATATTTATTCACCGTTACCGTTTATTTATTATAAATGATTAACAAGTACCTACACCTACCTATATATAGGTAACAGCTTATCGCCTATACCCACCGTATGCGCGTTCGTAAATAACAGAATATATACTATATAGATCCTAAAAGAAATACGCACAGAGATAAACTGTAGTTCGTAGTACTTTCCTACCAATAACCTAAATAATATGTATAAGGCAACCGGATCGAGATTTCTGCCGGTAGCCGATCGACCACTCGAAGTACTCACGAAAGGTACWATATAATAATCGATGTGTATTGGTAATCAAAAAGTACTAGGATATATTGACGTGTATTTGAACACTAAATAATGAAAAATAATTGAAAAAAAAAAAACAAACCTTGGGAGGACGGTATCGGAGGGTGCAGGACGTCCGGTACGCTGGGTAATATCAGATTGATGTTCCTGCACTGGACGACGGTTCCGGTCGACTGCAGCAACGTTCCCACGAACAGTAGCCGCCACATATTATAACGTACGATTGTCGTTGTCGTGTCTTCGTCGTCCCTACATGCAATTTCAGGTATGGAGCTATTACCTATCTATATTAGATAATATTATAAAGGGTGTAGGCACCACCTATTATAATAATATGCGCAAATAATGGTCGCGGTCTTCGGTGCAGTGGTTCTACCGTCGTCTCTGCAGGGCGGCGCTGGGAAGTCCGGCKCGGCCGTGCAGCATCACTGCGGCGCGGTGGACGGAAGTAAACGCGGTAGCAATATTATGTTATTGGTGTTATACACCTGTCTATACCGTTACCGCTGTATATCGTATTGTTATGATATATATTATTATAATAATATCGTGCAGGTATATGACGCGAACTGCGGCGGCGACAACGGGCCGGTCGAGACGGAACGGTCGGGAGACGGAAGACTACTGACGGCTCGTTAGAGGTTTAACGATTGATATATAAACGCGGACACTCGAGCGTGTCTACCTATATGTGGTGTGCGTGTAGTGCGATCGAATCGACCAGGATGTGCGTGTCGATTTCGACGTACACGCTGCACATGCATATACAGGGTGATTCGCCGTGCACGATCATCCCCGTTTCCCCCTTCGACGTATAATGCATTTATTCGAACTAGTGTTTTTCTCAATTTTCATGTAATTCGTAGCTACTAGGTGTATTAATGGGCAGGTAAAATAGGTTACTTAATAGTTACTTTCCCTCACTTACGGTGTGTTATCACCAGACGCTCGGATTTGTTAAACCGTTTTAGGTTTGCGTGGCCCAGTGTCAGTGATATGGAAATTGCACTGTGAAAAAATATTGGGCAAATTCACAGTTAAATTCTACGTAAATTATATCGGTTAATATACCGATGGATAAATCTGCAATGGATATATCAGTATAGTATTATATCGCTATTATATCAATGAATATATTAATACAACACACATTATTATAGCATTACAGTATACGTAACTTTATCTTGGTTTTCATTTATAATAATATATTGTCACATTTGTGTTCTAGAAGACTAGAACCAAATATTATAAAAATAATGCTATTGTGCACATGAAAATAATACTGCAAAAAAGATAATATTAATAATGCAAATATTAAACACTCGATTTGACGTAAACAAATATCTGTAAAATGTAAGTAAATTTATCAAGTTCTTGTCTCTCTCTTTTTCAAATGAAAACCACTCATTTTTTATTCCAAAATTGTTTTTTTTTTTGAAAACGAATCTAAATAATTTGAATATGATTTATTCTCGAACTATTTTTACTAAGGCTTATGATGAGTCCTATAGATATATCATAGCAGGTGACATAAGTTTACCCAACGTATAAAATAAATTTAATTTATGATCCGGCAGTTTTTACTGATTTTTAATATTTTGTACCTAGTGATCATGCAACTACTAACTATAATTTTCAAACTATCATAGCCTCTATATCTTAAAACTTTTTATTGTATATAGAATGTACAGTTAATTCTTAGTGAATAAAATTTAATAATCCAAAAACCACTTGATCGAATTTCTATTTAAATAAATACCTACGTAAAATTAAATAAAAATGACAACAATTTTCAGTAAAAAAAGCTGATTCTCATTTGTATAAAAAAATTAGTATTCATTGAAATAACGCTGCAGTACAATTTTAGAATGGCATCTAAGTGTTTGAAAATTTAGTTTGTCCTTTGAGTGTAATAGCAGGTTCAGATACTTAAAAATGTAAAAAACAGGATTTGAATAAATTCATTACGATAATGGAAACATAATAGGATCGACCTGGTTCACTTGGTGAACCACTCTGTATAAAGTGTGTTTGGGCTTGTCTGTCATCGACTGCATTGATTTATAACATAATATATCTTTATTATTATACACTGCTGTCGTAGTCGTCATCGACGTGATCCCAGTGGTTGGCAAAAACTATTTTGATTTAATACGTCGATTGCAATCGACGACAACGACGACGACGACCGATTTCGTATATTTGTAAATGAAAGTTCGCATGCGTATAGGTACCTATATATAGCTGTTATCGATAATTTCGTTTTGTCAAATTAGGTACGGCTGCTTCATTGACTCATTGTATCGATATATACATATAGACACGCGTGACGATGACAGTATATTATACAGAGTGATCACTGATCCACCGAGCGAGCTCATCCCCATTTACTACTTAAGTGTTAAGTWATTCATAATTATTCATATYCTGATTCCAAMAAGTTTTAATTAGGTACACATACACTTAAAGTTAATAGTTAAAGACAGTATTTTCAATTACTTTGGTTTTTAGGCTTCTTTTTTTCAAATAAGAAACGGATTTTTACCTAATTTATTAGGCAAATGATTTTTTACAACTTTAATTTGCCTGTCTAAATGAGAATTTAAATGATGAGTAGTTTCTGAATTGTTAAAATGTATAATTATTATGCATGTAGCGAGGATAAAATATATGATGTGATAAATGTATTATTGGATTCAGTCACATGTTATTACTAACTATTAGGTAGATACTCAGGCAACTTTTACAAAATATAAAAAGAAAGATAATAATCATTTTCAAATTACCATATTCTTCATGATTCCACAACTATTGTCTATTATTCTTATAAGTTATAATCTTATTATAATATAACTCAAACACTAAATTTTCAAAAAATTCGACACTTTACAAGAAAATGGTGATTCTCGTTTGAAAAAAGAATTYGGTAATAATTGGTATCWCCAGAGGAGCCACTTAAACTTGAATGGTATAAATAAAAAAATTAAGTATTTRAAAGTAAAGTGTACAAGCTATCTACAGGTACTTTATGATTCCAAAAATGATTATTTGAATTAATTAATTATTAAAGGAAAGAATGAGGAATCATATGCTAGGTGAATCACGCTGTATAATTGAAWTGTGTACGCGAGATAGTAAATAATACATATTATTTTATGTCGATAAAATAATAACTATAATATATATATATATATATATAKWRTA